CGAAAAATCTCCGAACCCTCATCTCCCATAAATCCCGAACAAATCACATTCCGAAACATACATTCTGTTTTATCAGAATTTGTTCTTGAAAAGGGCAAATTAGCTTTCAAACTATCGCACGATTGGAAAGCATTTGGAGTTTTAATCTTGCCTAACTCCTTTCTTGTGATAAGATACCTAGAGGAGCTTGGAGTAGCAACGGATAAGCGACAGCAAGTCTTGCCACTGTTCTTACACGTCAATATCACAATTTTTGGCGAAGTGTGTCATCATGCGTGAATAATATCCCGAAGTCACTCGTAAACATTCAAGAACCTGACACCCCAACAACAAGTCACACTTTCATCAAAATCGAGATAGTCCAACATTTACACACTGCGGGAGACGTGCTGTGGCTTTTCATGTTTCAGCCTGAGCCCTGCAAATTGTGGGTCACAAAAAAAATTTTTTCTGTTTGCAGCAAACCAACAGTAATTTACAAAATGGATGAAGGAATCGATGTTCTTTGCTAAGTTAATATGAGCCAAGTCGGATGCCTACGAAACTCCCTAGGCAAGATTCTGCCTTCCCCCTCCCCCTTTTGCTTCCAGGCACCAAGCTATTGGATTGATGATTGATTAGTGATATCCGGGTGCGCGTCAACTGATAAGGGTGGTTAGTCCCGTAAGTAATAGTACAGGTTATTCCTCGGTGAGGGGCGGTAATCCCTTTCTCGCCAGATGCGTGAGATCCGGTGCCGACTACCGCGCTGCGGTCAGAGGGGTTTTTCCCGACCATACAGCGGGGAAAGATTACTCCACGCTCCCGAGCAAAACAACATGCACTTACGCTTACGGACACCATGACCTTGGCATCCACAAACAACCACTCAAAGACGATAAGGGTTCTGATTTCTTCACCAACGACCGTATTGCCATCCCGCATGCGTTATGCGCGCCAGACATCACACGCCCTGCCGGCAGGCAGCTTGCCTGCCCAAGACGAGAAGGAGCAGCTGCTTGCGCGCGCTTGCTGGAGAACATCGGCATCCGCCAGTGCGCGCCGCTGCACCCCCCCGCCCCCGCACGGAAAGGTCACTTTAGTAATAATTAAAATATGTCCATGCAAATACGTAATAAATATTTTATTTTTTATATTCACGAGCCCCAATTTTGAAAAATTGAACATGTAGTATGGGACTGGGAACTAGCCACAATGCAAATCGTTTTCTTCGGATTTTGGACTACAGTACGATTATTTGCGTGCACAGGACGTAAAACAGCTGTCCGCAGTTTCATCCTAATCGGGCATGCTTTTTACAACTCGATAATGAATATTACAGAAAACAGTGTTTAGGACAGTACTTTATCACATTGAATTTTGAAAACAAGATTTCTGGTATTTCAGAAAGTATAAAACTTCAGATCGTTCCAATGTCTATAAAAAATAAGAAAAGGAAAAAAATATTTTTAAAATATCTGATGTATATTACAAAGAGGACCAAAGAAAATATTAAACAAAGTACTTTCTATTAATTTTCTGGTTGGAAGTATTGTTTTTGAGTGAACAAGCTTATGAAGATACCTATTTGTAATACCTATTATCATTATCATCATCAACCCCAGTTTAGAGCAGTTGCTCTGTTCCTGTTAGAGGTATTAACCAGTATTTTCCTTCTCATGCGTGAAGAGTTCCTGCTGGTGCCATCTTCTTGTTGGTCTGTTCACATCCCTCTTGCCATTTGGTCTATAATTTAATGTCATCTGTGAGAGCGATGTATTTGTCATTTCTTTTCACATGTTTTCTTTGTAATTTTTATTTCTTCTGCTTAGTTTTCATTTTCAGTTTTTTCCTAATTGTTTAATTTTAAATTTTGTCCTTTCTTGTTACTCCCAAACACTAACCCTTAAATTTTAATCTGAACCTACA